CATCCGTACCCACTTAAAATCTAATTCAAATCCAGTTTCTTTCGTGGTCGTTACCACGAACTACGGACGCTCTGATTCTTTATTCATTCTTGAATATAAGATACGTAGGCACAAGATTGCGATGATCTTGGCGAGCACACTCCTATCCATCTTCCGTTTCCCCCCATCCTTTCCCGTGCTCGAACTACGACGCTCTGATTTCTCATTCTCGTCCGAATGAGCATACGTAGGCACAAGGGCCCTAATCCTTGGCGAGCACCCTATCCTCTAACCACCCATTTTCCCCTCGTGTCTTTAACCTTTTACCCTACCAATTCTACCTTTATCATCGAGAAGAAAACAAGTAAACCTAAACAACACTCCCCACAATTACCTTAAGAGGTTCCCGTCGAGTACGACGGACGTGAGGGGTGCTAATACCTTCCCCTCACGTAACCGACTCCCGAACCCGGAACATGGTTGCGACAACCCTGTTCCTATCCTTTCGTTTTAAGAGGTTTTCTCGATATTTTCCTCTCCCGTTTATTCGGGAAAAATAAAGTTCGGTGGCGACTCTGTCGAACCGCATTTCTGCGCCTTTCGCGCGAGGGTCGTTTCTTCGAAATGTCTCCGTGATTTTTCGAGGTGCGACATTAGTGTGATAAAAAAGAAGCAACGAAGTGAAAGCGATAATAACAGCGAAAACAACGATTTTGTTAAGCTTCATTTTGTGAATCCACGGTGGCGAAATGGTTTCTTTGGAATGGAAACATATGAAGTATTTTTCCGGGTCTGATGAATTGTAACCGCAAAAGCCTTTTTTGCTGATACATTTTGTGCAATTTGTGAAGTAAGTATCTTGTTAATGCTTCATCCCATTGAACTTCGATACCGAAAGTGAGCATCTCATTGAGGTAATCAAGGACATCACTTTGGCAACTGGGTTCAGAATCAGAAACAGGGTGATGCATAGATCTACAGTTAGTGAAGATTTCTGTTGGGTTTTTGATGATTTTGCATTGCCAAGGGCAGTGACTGCAATTGAGAAGTGTTGAAGGGGAACAAGGTTGGAGAAAAGAGAGACATGAGCATAGTTCATCTGAGAGAGTGAATGGCGAGTTTGAGAGGTTGATGGGTTTATTAGGGATTGAAGATGAAGATGAAGATGGGCAAGTGTTGTTGGAGATGAGAGGTTCGAAAACTTGAGCGAGATTATGCAGGTTGAGGGGTTAAGGTTGAAGAAGTTTGGAAGTAAATAGGAAGAGGTTTTGGAGGTTGTAGTTTGAAGTGAAACTGAGAGAAGAAGGAGAAGCACATTTGTGGAGGTGGCCGGTTAGAAGCTCGTGGTTGATTGTGCCTTAGTGAGTTTTCGTTTGAGTTATTCACGGTGAAGATGAAATGGTGTGTAGAAGGTTTCGTAGTAGGTTTCTGATGTTGCTTGATGTTTGTGGGTGTTGAGCTAAAATGTTGAATGAAGGTTTGAGGAGGATGAACATGGTTAGTTAATGGTGGAGCTTTCTCAAATCAGAGGGAGTTTGAGTGAGGATGATGATGTGAGATAGATGAGGTTGGTTTTGTTATGAAGGTGTTGGAGGTGATGAAGAAGAGGTTTGAAGGCTTAATGATGTTGGTTCGAATTTTGGGTATATGGGATTCTTGTGAGTTATGCCAACAAGGTGGTAAGTTATAGAAGGCAGAGGGGAGGTTAAGGAAAGGTTGGAGGTTGTATATTTTGGACCGTTTTTTGCAGGGTTTGTCTGGTGTGGGGGAGATAAAGAATAGCAGAATGTGTGCTTGTTGCTTCCCTGCGTGCTGTACTTTGTTTCAGGTTTTGTGTGCAGGCGGTAGCTGCACAATTTGGAGTTATAATGGTGGGGTTAGTCTGTACGGTTTTCATAGCAGCAGAGGCTGTGTGGGGTTAAAATGGTTTTAGTGTTGAAGGCTGGTGTGGTGATGCCTGCTGCAGATTTGTTCATTTCCTACTGTGAGAACCAACTTTTGCTTTTCTTTTTCCTCTTCTTTTTTATATTTAATTTGAGCTAGGCCTTTTATTCACTCGCCCAGTCTTGCTTGGTTTATGTGGGTAACAACTTGTTTGCTGAAACTTTGTTTTAGGTTGTCATCTCGTACGAGTAGTACCGCGTAGCAGGTTTATGGGTGAGGAGCATGGCAATGGGCAAAGCAGCGGTACGAATTTGCAGGTTCTGGCATGCTGTTCCTGTACCGTCTTGTCTGGCTGTTGTGTAGTAGTAGGAAACATAGCATGGTTTCAGCATATGGAGTGGCAGCAAGAACCGTAATAAGCATACGGTTGTGAAAAGCAAGCTGTAACTTTAGCTTTTCTTTTTTTTGAAGTTTTTGTAATCTCTTGGTGTAACACATATACATGGGCCTTGAGACAAAATGAAATGGGCTTAAGAGTTTTTTTTTTTGTTTTTGTGGTGAACAATGAATTTTGAATTTATGCAAATGGACTTTGATCAATTTTTTAACTGCACCTCCTTTTCTTGTAATATTTCAATGAATCTCTTGTAGATTCTTTTGTATAATGATGGATTCCAAATGCTTCTAATTGGATCGGGCCCGACAATATCACTTATTCACACCTCCATGCAGTTATTGATCTTCGACAAAAAAGTGATAATCAAAACTTGAAGTTTCGATTAAATCCAAAAATCTCATAAACTAAATTCCAAACCTTTGAATAAATTGGAGCCTTCGAATCAAAACAAATTTGTTTGAAGTCAACCACTTCCTGCACAAATGATCAAATTCCTTGAATCAAACCTTGAGGAATGCCTTCAGAATGTAAAGATGTTTAAATTGATTTCTGATGAATGACATCATAGTAAGGGAACCGTCTGGGAATGATCTTGACTTGAATATCATGCTTGAATCCTCACTTAAAAGACAAGAACGTGAACCACATTAACAAAATTTACCAATAACCTGAGGTGCCTCATTGTTTTGATTTTCTTAATAGCACTGCAACCTGATTTCAAAGAACCTGAATTGCCATGAAACCTGGTTTGGTAATTGTTAAGCATAAAGTATAGGTCCATGACAAAATCCACCCTGAGAACCACAAAGTCTTTTCTACCAAACTGCTGACAAAACCCTAAACAAACTACATCTGGAGCCGTGCCTGATAAACCTCAAATACGCATTGCTCATGACAATTGAAAACTCAACACCACTGCCTCAAACTTGAGTACCATAATTGAATGAAACAACCTTTGAACAGTAGAACTCCAACTCAAAATAAAACCTCTCGTCCAACCCTAATTTAAACACTTTAGAAGTTTCTGAAGTCAATCCCTGATTCATGAAAGAAACAAAGCCACCAAAGAGTTAATAAACTGGTTAGTTATGCAATATGACGACTGATCTAAATGATATGCAAATGAAAACAAAGCAAAAGCCAGTCAAAGCTAGAAAACAGGTGGGCAAATTTTAGGGTGCAACACCATATAATACTGGCCATGGGTTAGATTTTATTCTAAATTCATTTATTATAATTGTTCGATTTTTCCCTTTCTATATAACATTTTCGTCTAAACTATTGTCTTATTTTATAGTGGACATTGGTTGTTGGTCGCGATTAATCCGAGGAAAGAAATAGTGTATTATATAGATTCATTTGATGGCGATACAACAAAATATGAAAATCTGAGGAACATGGTTGATACGTAAGTGATGAGATATACTGTTGTCTTTAATTATATATCTTTATTTATTATGTGACATTGTTCTAAATATGCGTTTATATTATGTTAGAGTTATACAAATATTCAGAGCATAAAGAGATGCAACGGTGCCAAAAAGCAAGGCTAACAACATCAACTGGATCAGAGTGGAGGTATATTTTCCCATGTTTGACTGTTATAGTGGTTCTACTTGATAAAACTATTTAAAGTATATATCATGATAAATGTTCGTTTGTTTTTTCCATTTACAGTGTCCTCGGCAACGCAATGGTATTGACTGTGGATATTTTGTATTGCGCTTTATGAGGGAAATTATTCTTTCTGGTCAACTTGAGATTCCAGTCATGGTATGGATCAATTCATTATATAAGTTATATGATTAATTTTGATAATTATCTGATACTTCATATGAGTAATTAGTTTTAAAATTAAATCTTGCATGTTCTGTTATATTATGTAGTATTTTGATGAATTCAAGTGCGCTACTTACACGAAAGCAAAATTGGAAGAAATTAAAGAGGAATGGTGTCAATTTATTCTTGGGTTGAGAATTGTATAGAGTTATCGGATTGGAAGAATTGTAATTATATGTAAATTGAATGTATTTGTGATGTTGTAATTCTGAGGATCGAATTTTGTTGTAACATATTTAAACAGGTTTATGTGTATTAAAATGTTTATGAACAAAGTGATGAGTTACAATGTATCCAAAGTTTTGAATTGTATATATAAGGCCAAAGTGTTGAAATAAAGGCCTGAATTATAAGCAGGTTTGTGTAATATAAGCAGGTTGTTGGTAAATATACAAAACAGGGTGAATATTTTTTTTTTAAAATTTTTTAAAATCTGGGACATTAGACAGCGCTTTTACAAAAAAGCGCTGCTAAAGGTCACAAACATTGCGCTACAAAAGCGCTGCTATAGGTTTGGAAGGGGGGGGGGGTCTAAGACAACGCTTCTAAAAAGCGCTGCTAAAGGGGGGGGCTATGGCAGCGCTTTGTAAAAGCGCTGCTAAAGGTGGGCTCTAAGACAACGCTTTGTGAAAGCGCTGCTAAAGGGGGGATGGTTGGGGGGAATATGCAGCGCTTATGAAAGCGCTGCTAAAGGGCTATGAAAGCGCTGCTAAACGTGCTGCTGAAGGGAGCCTTTAGCAGCGCTTTTTTCATAAAAAAAAGCGCTGCCTTTACCTTTAGCAGCGCCACTTTTGGCAGCGCTTTAAAGCGCTGCTAAAGGCCAAAAAAAGCGCTGCTAAAGGTCTTTTTTTGGCATAGTGCCTTCATTAAACATCCCTGATACGTTCAACAAACTAAAGGCATGATAAGGGACTTAGGGCTAGATTATAAGAAGATCGATGCTTGCCCTAATGATTGCATGATATATTGGAAAGATCACGAGAATGATACTTCTTGCCATGTTTGCGGTGCTCCACGATGGAATGAAGATGTCAAAGGAAATGATCATGTTGAAAAAAATCATAAGTCTCATAAAGTTCCTTCAAAGGTTTTGAGGAACTTTCCGTTGATTCCTAGACTTCAAAGACTGTTTATGTGTTCAAAGACAGCTATCTCATTAAGGTGGCATGATGAAGAGCGTTCGAAAGATGGGAAGTTGAGGCATCCTGCAGACGCAGAAGCATGGAAAGAATTTGATAAATGTCACTCTGAATTTGCTGATGAGCCACGTAGTATAAGACTTGGATTGGCCAGTGACGGATTTAATCCATTTAGAACCATGAATTTGTCTTATAGTACTTGGCCTATGGTATTAATACCATATAACTTTCCACCTTGGTGGTGTATGAAGGCTGGGTATTCTATGTTGTCTTTATTAATCCCTAGACCACTTTCACCAGGGAATAACATTGATGTATACCTTCAACCATTGATAGAAGAGTTGAAAGTGTTATGGAATTTGGGTGTAGAAACATATGATGCATCACTAAGTCAAACTTTCCAAATGCAGGCAGCTCTCTTGTGGACTATTAGTGACTTTCCTGGGTATGCTATGTTGAGTGAGTGGAGTACAAAAGGGAAACTAGCATGTCCTTGTTGTAACTATAACACTAATTCAATATATTTGAATTATAGTAAAAAGGTGTGTTATATGGATCATCGTGTTTTATATAGATTTTTTGTTACTATTAAACATTGGAATTGAACTTTTCTTCATTCCATCACTGTTATTGTTCAATATAGCAATGTATTTATGTTCCATTTTTCAATTTGTTCCATTTTTCTCACAAATGTGATTTAAAAGCTTCAAATTTTCCTTACAAATCCATCTTCAATTCCATTACTCAAACCTAGAAATCTTGCAAATGACGACAACAACAGCGTTTAGGAAACATGATTTCGGAACGTGAAAAAAATGTAATTCTAAAAATGACTGTGTTTGGGGAATATGTTTGAGGAAATAAGCGACAATCACGTGTTTGGAGAAAATGACATTAGTTGTGATTCATGAATTTGGCGCAAGTTGCAGCGATGCACATAACACGGTGGCATGAGGTTTTAAATTGCAATTTATGTAAGGTTGCATATTTCAAGTTGCAATTTGGGTGTAGCAAATTTAAGTAATAAATCATATTTTTTATGGTAACATTGCTTTTGTTTTTCCTGATATAATAGTATTAAGACATTTTTATGCTAACATTGATTTGATTTTTCTTGGTATAACAATATTAAGATTTGGTTTTTCTGGTATAATAGTATTAAGCACATAATGTCTTATGCGCAGGTTAAACCCACACTTATACATGTTATATTATGCATAGAGTGTATTATACCTTTTATGTTTGTTTAAGTTTTTTTTCCAGAAGTTACTATTTAGTAATATATGATCATCAAACTTTTGTATAACAGTTACTTTTTCTTTTAAATTGTTTTTGACAGATTTATTGATTACTTTGAAAACTTTCTTGGATTTCTCTAAAGAAGTTGTAGATCAAATGTTATTCTTAAGAATTTCTTTGAATTTCTATCTCTCTCATACCAAGTTATATGCACAACTGCAAGTATTCAAAGGCAAAATGGAATTGACAGAAACAAGGCGAAAACATGAGAAAAATAGAGAGATTGCGACGACATCACACAATCTGTATTATAGCTGGTGCAAAGGAGAATCTGCACCATGAAGCAGAGAAAGATATGCATGAGTGATTTTTTAATAAGAAGTTATCTATAGTAAACCTTTGTACATGGAGACTCCAGATAATGATGTCAAATAATTTTTTTCATCTATGTTATCTAAATTTATACTATCTTTGGTTGCTCTAAATTTGATAGTCATTTGAAAGATTGTTTTTCCATTTGATAGTAGAAACTGAATTTGTTTTGTAGTTGAGGTTACTTCTTTGTTTATGGATAATAATTAATATTTTTTTAGATTTTTTTTGTATGCATTTCACAATACTTGGGGACATTTTACTTTGATTTATTTTAATCAGTTAGCAATAATTGTGCCCTTAGCGACTTTTTTTTTGGATAAATGCTAGAAAATTTGTATAAAGTTTATGTCTATTTTCTCTAATTCTAAATCATTTTATGGGCTATAATGATAATGATCATAAATATATATGTTGTTGCAAACTCAGTCACACAATAATTTTATACTCATTAAATACTATAGTAATAAATTCTTATCTCCAAAGAAGAAGAAAAATTGAGTCTCTAAAGTTATATAATCATGCCAATTTTTATAGATTTTTTTATTTGATTTCCTCTCTTTAATTAATTCTTATAGCGGAGTAATAAATGATAACATAGATATTTACTTGATGAGATATACATTCAGGTTCTTTTTGGTTGGATTTTTTTGAGTGCTGATTCTCGGATATCCATAGATATTTACTTGATGAGATATACATTCAGGTTCTTTTTGGTTGGATAATCACTTTTCGGCATAAAATCACTTTCGGCATAAAACTTCTTTTCCATCCTCTCTCGGCTGTCCCGAAAAGGACGGATACTACCGGTTCGACGCCGAGGTCGAGGATTTAAACGGGAGCTGGTTGCGGCATCTTTCGTACCCTCCTGACACCCGGTGATGATACTTCTCTGAGGGTCAAAATAAATTCTAACATCTTACCCAGCTGCTCTGTTGTGTCGGTTTTGCAGGTATCGGAAGAAAATTGGATGCTCGGAGAATCGGGCGCGAAAAGAAATACTCGGAAGGACTTTTTAGGATATTAGGAATTTTAGAATAAAAATAACATGTAATGTAAATTCGTCTTTGTAAATTGTTAATAAAGAAATATCTATGAATAAAATATTCACATTATTTTTCTATCCAAAATTTTTTGTCTGATTTTCCTTTCCACGATTTCATCACGAACCGAACAACTCTCGTAATTAAAGAATGTACGATTAAATTCCAACAGTTAAACGCCTCCGAACAAATTCAACCAATCACAGATTAATCAATTAAATTTGAACCACCGGACTAACTTCACCAAACAAACTCGTATGAATAAATTCCAGAAAATCACTTGAATCAACTTTATCATTCCAGCCCGTGCTGCTCCACTTAAAAACACGATCTAACCTTCAATTCTAATCCAATATTTCTCAGATTAAACCGCGCCTGATGGTAAAATCGATGATATTCTTGAACGAAATAAAACAAGAAGGAAGCAGAGAAAACTGATTAACAGTGAAAACATAAATATACTCCGCATTAAAATTCAATTAGCGTCTTCGACAAAATACCAACCCATAAACCATCTCAGCCCATAAACCTCGATCGACATAAATCACAACCCGAATCCAAATCAGAATTTTTACTGTTTCTTTTCTTTTGAAGTTTAAAAACAGCAGAAAGCAGGGGAAGCAGAAAAGTATGCGCCTGTGAAATAACTCATGGAAATAAATGCTTGTACCGATTTAAGTGAACCAAAGTTGATGTCTCAACATAATCAAACCCACATGACAAAGCAACAGCCCTGAAAGCTACTGACAACAGAAACTCGGCTCCTGAATAAATTACCGTATCTCGAAAACTCGGATGCCAAAATTCACTGTAAATTTCTGTTTATCCTCAAAATAAAGAAACCGGAGACGAAGATTTTAATTATTCCAAAGAATCCTGGCGACAGCTCATCTTCAAAAACCGTCAGTAAATAATGCACAAATTACCCTTTTGCCTTTTTCACAGTTAAAGAGCACCTGATGTAAATCCTGCAAAATAAACGGACTACGTAACCTGTTAATAGTTAGCGGATGCAAACATGATTATGACTGGTTAAATGCAATACAAAACAATGTAATGAAATGCGAGATGATTCGACTAATCTTAGGGAAAAATTTGGGGTATTACAGATATCATCGAAGATTTGTTGTAAATAATATTTTTTTTATAAATATTTTGTATAAACAATGTATTTTAAAAAAAAATCGTCACCTCGGTTTTATTTAAAACCAAGGTGATAGTTAATATAACATCTTGGTTTTATAGTAAAACCGAGGTGGTTAGTAACCATATTTTACTATAAAAGGACTCGTTAAATAAATTTTACCCTAATACCAAATTATATGTAGCCACCACGAAGAGAGGAAATATTCACCACCACCCATTTTTATCACGAGTAGCTACTACAGATCTCTGGGGTAGATTGCAAGTGTAGAAAATAAAAATTTTCATTAGGAAACAGATCTCTAGAATCTTGCATGAGACCTGAACATGTAAAATTAAATTTCTCATTGGAAAACAGATTTTACAATTTATTTTTAATATTTTGTGTAAACAATGTATTTAAAAAAACAATTTATTCACCTCGGTTTTCTTCTTGGCCAAGGTGATATCTGTCAAGTATATATTAGTTTTTCTCAATATTATGAAATGAAAGAGCAACTGAACTTATATACCAAACATAACTGACAAAACAACCAAGACCAATTCACAAAAACAGTTGACATATCAGAATTTTAACATAAAACAACGAGCGGTCGACCTATGCAGTAGAGGGGGTTGACCTGAGCTGACCCGAACTCAAGATTGTGCAGAAAACAGAACCACGCATCGACCGGAGCATAACATGCGTCGATTCATAGCGTGCAATTTTAGCCAAATTAAAATGCTTACAGTATGAGTCGACCATAGGATCCACGCGAGCCCTCCTGAGATTGATTCACTAAAACAACTTGCAGTGTGAGTCGACCAAAGCAGGTTTTTGGTCGACTCAAAACCCTGAAATAAGCAAAAATTCCTATTTTCATGTTTTACGACACATTTGATGAAACCTATAGTATGTAAAACACTACCAACTAAGTCAACCCTATATGACACACATATTTGGCTATCTATATGCAACAGTCATGATTTTTACGAGCATTTGAATTATGAGAAACAAGACATGCAAATACGACATGGTGACAACGTCCAACATATATTTTTCTATGGAGCTGAATTTTAACATCATCAAAACGAACACACACGCACACGCACACGCACACGCGCACGCACACACACACACACACATATATATATATATATATATATATATATATATATATATATATATATATATATATATATATATATATATATATATATATATATATATATATATATATATATATATATATATATATATATATATATATATATATATATATGAGGCTTTTCCCTCATAACACTTAGGAGTATAATGTAGCAAACAAGCATATTTTATTGTGACAATCAAAGTGTAATACATATTAAATACAGTTTTTCATGAACCTACGAAACACTTGGAAATCGATCGCCACTTTCTAAGATACAAGGTATTTCAAAACTTATTTAAAATTCTTCCTATAAAGTCGTAGGTCCAACTTGTAAATTTGTTTACCAAGCCTTTTTCAGCAAAAAACTTTAACTTCTTTATATCCCAACTTAACATGAGTGATATATACCATGTCAAGCTTGAGGATGAATGTTAAAGTACCTAGTGTTAGCAAGCTTCAACTGCAAGTTATATATTATATTCATCATATATTTCTCCTTTTCTAATGGTACACCACATATAAAGAAGCACTACAAACTAGAGAGTTAGTTAAAGTTAGTTAGTTAGTTGAAGTTTTTTTTAGAGAAACTAATGTTTATATATACATACATCATTTAAAGAGGATTTTATGTTTTCTCTTTGATTTTATCATGGTTATGAGAAACTCCACGACTAATGT